TCCTGCCCCTTTATCCCTCCTGGTGCTCATCCTGCCCCTTTATCCCTATTGGTGCTCATCCTGCCCCTGTATCCCTATTGGGGCTCGTCCTGCCCCTGTATCCCTATTGGTGCTCATCCTGCCCCTGTATCCCTATTGGTGCTCATCCTGCCCCTGTATCCCTATTGGGGCTCGTCCTGCCCCTGTATCCCTATTGGTGCTCATCCTGCCCCTGTATCCCTATTGGTGCTCATCCTGCCCCTTTACCCCTATTGGTGCTCATCCTGCCCCTCTATCCCTATTGGTGCTCATCCTGCCCCTGTATCCCTATTGGTGCTCATCCTGCCCCTTTATCCCTATTGGTGCTCATCCTGCCCCTGTATCCCTATTGGGACTCATCCTGCCCCTCTATCCCTATTGGTGCTCATCCTGCCCCTGTATCCCTATTGGTGCTCATCCTGCCCCTGTATCCCTATTGGTGCTCATCCTGCCCCTGTATCCCTATTGGTGCTCATCCTGCCCCTTTATCCCTATTGGTGCTCATCCTGCCCCTTTATCCCTATTGGTGCTGTGCTGGTTGGATGTGGGGCTCGCCATGGGCAGGGGATGCCCAGGACCAGGTTTCTGTCTGGGCACACTGGGCATTGGAGCAGGGGCTGGATGTGTGCTCCAGGACACGATGGATGCATCCACATGGAATGATGGAGCCGGATGAAGGATTGCCATGGTGCTGGCACCATTGGAGCTGTGCTCCAGGACACGATGGATGCATCCACATGGAATGATGGAGCCGGATGAAGGATTCCCATGGTGCTGGCACCATTGGATGTGTGCTCCAGGACACGATGGATGCATCCAGATGGAATGATGCAGATGGATGGATTGCCATGGTGCTGGCACCACTGGATGTGTGCTCCAGGACATGATGGATGCATCCACATGGAATGATGGTGCTGGATGGATTGCCATGGTGCTGGCACCACTGGAGCTGTGCTCCAGGACACGATGGATGCATCCACATGGAATGATGGAGCCGGATGGATTGCCATGGTGCTGGCACCACTGGATGTGTGCTCCAGGACACGATGGATGCATCCACATGGAATGATGGAGCTGGATGGATTGCCATGGTGCTGGCACCACTGGATGTGTGCTCCAGGACACGATGGATGCATCCAGATGGAATGATGGAGCTGGATGAAGGATTGCCATGGTGCTGGCACCACTGGAGCTGTGCTCCAGGACACGATGGATGCATCCATATGGAATGATGGAGCTGGATGGATTGCCATGGTGCTGGCACCGTTGGATGTGTGCTCCAGGACACGATGGATGCATCCAGATGGAATGATGGAGCCGGATGAAGGATTGCCATGGTGCTGGCACTGTTGGATGTGTGCTCCAGGACACGATGGATGCATCCACATGGAATGATGGAGCCGGATGAAGGATTGCCATGGTGCTGGCACCACTGGAGCTGTGCTCCAGGATACAATGGATGCATCCACATGGAATGATGGAGCCGGATGAAGGATTGCCATGGTGCTGGCACCACTGGAGCTGTGCTCCAGGACACGATGGATGCATCCAGATGGAATGATGGAGCCGGATGAAGGATTGCCATGGTGCTGGCACCACTGGAGCTGTGCTCCAGGACACGATGGATGCATCCACATGGAATGATGGAGCCGGATGAAGGATTGCCATGGTGCTGGCACCACTGGATGTGTGCTCCAGGACACGATGGATGCATCCAGATGGAATGATGGAGCCGGATGAAGGATTGCCACGGTGCTGGCACCACTGGAGCTGTGCTCCAGGACACGATGGATGCATCCACATGGAATGATGGAGCCGGATGAAGGATTGCCATGGTGCTGGCACCGTTGGAGCTGTGCTCCAGGACACGATGGATGCATCCAGATGGAATGATGGTGCTGGATGGATTGCCATGGTGCTGGCACCACTGGATGTGTGCTCCAGGACACGATGGATGCATCCACATGGAATGATGGAGCCGGATGGATTGCCATGGTGCTGGCACCACTGGAGCTGTGCTCCAGGACACAATGGATGCATCCACATGGAATGATGGAGCCGGATGAAGGATTGCCATGGTGCTGGCACCGTTGGAGCTGTGCTCCAGGACACGATGGATGCATCCACATGGAATGATGGAGCCGGATGAAGGATTGCCATGGTGCTGGCACCGTTGGAGCTGTGCTCCAGGACACGATGGATGCATCCACATGGAATGATGAAGCCGGATGAAGGATTGCCATGGTGCTGGCACCACTGGAGCTGTGCTCCAGGACACGATGGATGCATCCACATGGAATGATGGAGCCGGATGAAGGATGCCATCCTCATTTCCCACCTAAATCCCCGTCTGCCTCCTGCCTCCCATCTCTGGTGCCTGCTCCCAATGGCCTCTAATGCCCCCCCCATATAACATCACCTTGCCGTGGCCCTGGCTGGGTTCAATGTGCCCCCTCTCTTTAACACCCCCCTGCCATGGCCAAGGGGGGGGGGGTTTAAACCCACCCCCATTTAACACAACCCATCCATGGCCCCAGGATGGGTTTTATTGTGCCCCCCCCCCCCCAATATCAATGTTGTAGCCCCAGGGGTGGTTTTCAATGCCCCCCCCCTACAGCATCACAGCAGAAGGGACCTGCCCCAAGCATGGGGGTCCCCAAATGGGGCTGGAAATGTGTCGTGCCCCCCCCCCCATGTGATCTCTTCCCTTCTTTTCCTCTCCCCCCCCCCCCATTCTTCAATCTCTGCTCCTGATTCGTGCCCCCCCCCTCCCCAAGGGGTGATCCCCACATCCCTTAGGATCAGGCGCTCCCCTTCCTCCCACCTCCAATCCCTGTTCAGGACCCTGGGATGGGTGGAATAAAACCATTTTACTGCTCCCTTTTGGGGGTGCCCCCCCCCCCCCTCCAAAGGAAGCAATGGGGGGGTGTGGGGGTGATGATTCCTCACTCCTGGAGCAGGTCGAAGATGTCGGGGTCGATGCTGGCGCAGCGCAGGCAGGCGCGGAGCTGCGGCGCCGTGGCGCGGGCCCCGTGGCGGCGGCTCCAGTCCCGGAGCATCTCGAAGCTCTGGAGCACGAGGTTGTGGGGATGATCCTCCCGGATCTGCTCCAGGCGGCTCTTCCCCAGCCCCAGGCAGGCGATTCCGACCTCCTGCCATTCCCGGCCCAGGCGCTGAGCCACCCGCATCAGCTCCCGCTCCGAGAGGCGTCGAGGAGGAGGCGGTGACGGATGCAGGGATGAAGGCAGAGCATCCTCCTCCTCCTCCATGGTAACGGATGCGTCGTCATCCGGAGGGAGCTGGAAGCGCTGGAGCAGGTCGAGGCGGCCCACACGGCGCAGGAGCCCCGCGGTGATGGCCAGGGAGCGGGATGGGAAGCGTTGGAGCAGGAGGGAGCAGAGCTCCGGGCGGGAGGCGGGAGCCAGAATCCCGCTGGGAATGTGGTCCCCAAGCAGGAACTTGAAGCGATGCAGCTCCTCGTCGCTCAGCTCCTCCTGCAGCGCCAGCAGCTGGGACCGCTCGGAGGCTGACATTGGGGTGCGGGCATCAGCATCCGATGGGGAGCTGGGGATGGGGGGGAATCAGAACCCAATGGGGATGGGGGGGGATCAGAACCCAATGGGGAGCTGGGGACGGGGGGGAATCAGAACCCAATGGGGATGGGGGGGATCAGAACCCAATGGGGAGCTGGGGATGGGGGGAATCAGAACCCAATGGGGATGGGGGGGATCAGAACCCAATGGGGATGGGGGGGAATCAGAACCCAATGGGGATGGGGGGGAATCAGAACCCAATGGGGAGATCAGAACCCAATGGGGATGGGGGGGGATCAGCACCCAATGGGGATGGGGAGGATCAGAACCCAATGGGGATGGGGGGGGGATCAGAACCCAATGGGGATAGGGGGGAATCAGAACCCAATGGGGATGGGGGGGATCAGCACCCAATGGGGATGGGGGGGGGATCAGAACCCAATGGGGATAGGGGGGAATCAGAACCCAATGGGGATGGGGGGGATCAGCACCCAATGGGGATGGGGAGGGATCAGAACCCAATGGGGAGATCAGAACCCAATGGGGATGGGGGGGGATCAGCACCCAATGGGGATGGGGGGGGGGATCAGAACCCAATGGGGATGGGGGGGATCAGCACCCAATGGGGATGGGGGGGGATCAGAACCCAATGGGGATGGGGGGGAATCAGAACCCAATGGGGATGGGGGGGATCAGAACCCAATGGGGATGGGGGGGAATCAGAACCCAGTGGGGATGGGGGGGATCAGAACCCAGTGGGGATGGGGGGGAATCAGAACCCAATGGGGAGCTGGGGATGGGGGGGGGGGCATCAGCACCCAATGGGACCTGGGGATGGGGGGGATCAGCACCCAATGGGGAGCTGGGTTTGGGGGGCGGCATCAGCACCCAATGGGGATCTGAGGATGTGGGGGTGGCATCACCCCACACCACAGGGGTCTCATTGGGGTGTGTCCCCCCCCCCCCAATGACGACCCGGTCACCATCGTGCCTGGTGACCCCCCCCCCATTGTTCCTCAGCCCGGTCCCCGCCATCTCCCCCCGCACCCCCCCCACGTTCCGGATCCCCCCATTTCCCCCCCATTTCCCCCCCATTTCCCCCCATTTCCCCCCATTTCCCCCCATTTCCCCCCCATTTTCGCCTCCCCGCCCCCCGGTACCGCTTCCGGTTCCCGCGCTCAGCGCACTCTCCCGCCAAGTTGTGGCTTGGAGGGGCGTGGCTTGGAGGGCGTGGCTTGGGAGGGGCGTGGCTTGGGGTTGCCTTGGGGCTGTGCTACGGGGGCTCCTGCCCGCCCACCCTTTCTCGGCTCTCGATTGGCTCACCGAGCCGTCAGTCAGAGCTCGCCGCTCAGTGATTGGTCGAGCGGCGCAAAGGGGAGGGGCGAGAGGAAGCGGAGGCGGAAGCGGAAGCGGGGGGGATCCGGATGTGAGCGGAGGCCGGAGCGGGGAAGCCCCATGGAGGGAGCGGGGCCGGTGAGGGGCTGGGAGCGGGGGGGGGGGCGCTATGGGGGGACCGGGGGGGTGGTTGTGGGGCTGGGGGTGTTGGGGGGGTGGTTATGGGGTCCCTGCTATGGGGGGCACTGGGTACGGGGGGGTGGTTGTGGGGCTGGGGGGTTATGGGGGTCCCTGCTATGGGGTGCACGGGGGGGGTGGTTGTGGGGCTGGGGGTGTTGGGGGGGTGGTTATGGGGTCCCTGCTATGGGGGGCACGGGTACGGGGGGGTGGTTGTGGGGCTGGGGGGTTATGGGGGTCCCTGCTATGGTGGGCACGGGGGGGGTGGTTGTGGGGCTGGGGGGTTATGGGGTCCCTGCTATGGGGGGCACGGGGGGGGGTGGTTGTGGGGCTGGGGGGTTATGGGGGTCCCTGCTATGGGGGGCACGGGGGGGTGGTTGTGGGGCTGGGGGGTTATGGAGGTCCCTGCTATGGGGGGCACGGGGGGGGTGGTTGTGGGGCTGGGAGGTTATGGGGGTCCCTGCTATGGGGGGCACGGGGGGGTGGTTGTGGGGCTGGGGGTGTTGGGGAAGGGTTATGGGGGTCCCTGCTATGGGGGGCACGGGGGGGGTGGTTGTGGGGCTGGGAGGTTATGGGGGTCCCTGCTATGGGGGCCACGTGGGGAGGTGGTTGTAGAGCGTTGTGGGGGTCCTTGCTATGAGGGCACATGGGAGGGTGGTTGTGGGGCTGGGAGTGTTGGGGGGGGTGGTTATGGGGTCCCTGCTATGGGGGGCACTGGGTATGGAGGGGGTGGTTGTGGGGCTGGGGGTGCTGAGGGGGTTGTTGTGGGGTCCCTGCTATGGGGGGCATGGGGGGGAGTGGTTGTGGGGCTGGGGGTGTTGGGGGGGGTTATGGCGTCCCTGCTATGGGGGCACAGGTGGGGGTGGTTGTGGGGCTGGGGGTGTTGAGGGGGTTGTTATGGTGTCCCTGCTATGGGGGGCATGTGGGGGAGTGGTTGTGGGGCTGGGGGTGTTGGGGGAGTGTGGTTATGGGGTCCCTGCTAGGGGGGGCCGGCCTGGGGGAGCTGGGGTGCAGCACTGATGGAATGGGTGCTGTGGGGTGCTATGGGTGGCGTGGGTGCCCATGGGGGAGGGGTGTCTCTGCCCATTGGGCTCTGTTGGTGCCCATTGGGGTCTGTTGGTGCCATTGGGGTCTGTGTGTGCCCTTTGGGATCTGTTGGTGTCATTGGGATCTATTGGTGCCCATTGGGATCTATTGGTGCCCATTGGGGTCTGTTGGTGCCATTGGGGTCTGTTGGTGCCATTGGGGTCTGTTGGTGCCCATTGGGGTCTGTTGGTGCCATTGGGGTCTATTGGTGCCCATTGGGGTCTGTTGGTGCCCATTGGGGTCTGTTGGTGCCCATTGGGATCTGTTGGTGCCATTGGGGTCTGTTGGTGCCATTGGGTTCTGTTGGTGCCCATTGGGGTCTATTGGTGTCATTAGGGTCCATTGGTGCCATTGAGGTCTGTTGGTGCCCATTGGGGTCTGTTGGTGCCATTGGGGTCTGTTGGTGCCATTGGGGTCTGTTGGTGCCATTGGGGTCTGTTGGGGTCCGTTGGTGCCCATTGGGGTCCGTTGGTGCCCATTGGGGTCTGTTGGTGCCATTGGGTTCTGTTGGTGCCCATTGGGGTCCGTTGGTGCCATTGGGCTCTGTTGGTGCCCATTGGGGTCCGTTGGTGCCCATTGGGGTCCGTTGGTGCCATTGGGGTCCGTTGGTGCTATTGGGGTCTGTTGTTGCCCATTGGGGTCTATTGGTGCCCATGGGGGAGGGGTGTCTCTGCCCATTGGGGTCTGTTGGTGCCCATTGGGGTCCGTTGGTGCCTTTGGGGTCCGTGGGTGCCATTGGGGTCCGTTGGTGCCCATTGGGGTCTGTTGGTGCCATTGGGGTCTATTGGTGCCATTGGGGTCCGTTGGTGCCCATTGGGTTCTGTTGGTGCCCATTGGGGTCCGTTGGTGCCCATTGGGGTCTGTTGGTGCCATTGGGGTCTATTGGTGCCATTGGGGTCCGTTGGTGCCTATTGGGTTCTGTTGGTGCCCATTGGGGTCCGTTGGTGCCATTGGGGTCTGTTGGTGCCCATTGGGATCTATTGGTGCCCATTAGGGTCCGTTGGTGCCATTGGGGTCCATTGGTGCCATTGGGGTTCGTTGGTGCCATTGGGGTCTATTGGTGCCATTGGGGTCCGTTGGTGCCTATTGGGTTCTGTTGGTGCCCATTGGGGTCAGTTGGTGCCATTGGGGTCTGTTGGTGCCCATTGGGATCTATTGGTGCCCATTGGGGTCCGTTGGTGCCATTGGGGTCCGTTGGTGCCATTGGGGTTCGTTGGTGCCATTGGGGTCTGTTGGTGCCATTGGGGTCTGTTGGTGCCCATTGGGGTCTGTTGGTGCCCATTGAGGTCTGTTGGTGTCATTGGGGTCTATTGGTGTCATTGGGGTCTGTTGGTGCCCATTGGGGTCTGTTGGTGCCCATTGGGGTCTGTTGGTGCCCATTGGGGTCTGTTGGTGCCATTGGGGTCTATTGGGGTCCGTTGGTGCCATTGGGGTCCGTTGGTGCCATTGGGCTCTGTTGGTGCCCATTGAGGTCTATTGGTGTCATTGGGGTCTATTGGTGTCATTGGGGTCTGTTGGTGCCCATTGGGGTCTGTTGGTGCCATTGGGGTCTATTGGGGTCCGTTGGTGCCATTGGGGTCTGTTGGTGCTATTGGGGTCTGTTGGTGCTATTGGGGTCTGTTGGTGTCATTGGGGTCTATTGGTGTCATTGGGGTCTGTTGGTGCCCATTGGGGTCCGTTGGTGCCACTGGGGTCCATTGGTGCCATTGGGGTCTGTTGGTGCTATTGGGGTCTGTTGGTGCCCATTGGGGTCTATTGGGGTCCGTTGGTGCCATTGGGGTCCATTGGTGCCATTGGGGTCCGTTGGTGCTATTGGGGTCTGTTGGTGCCCATTGGGGTCTATTGGTGCCCATTGAGGTCTGTTGGTGTCATTGGGGTCTATTGGTGCCATTGGGTTCTGTTGGTGCCCATTGGGTTCTGTTGGTGCCATTGGGTTCCGTTGGTGCCCATTGGGTTCTGTTGGTGCCATTGGGGTCCGTTGGTGCCATTGGGGTCTATTGGTGCCATTGGGTTCTGTTGGTGCCATTGGGGTCTGTTGGTGCCCATTGGGGTCCGTTGGTGCCATTGGGGTCCGTTGGTGCCGGGGGCTCTGACCGGCTCCCCCCGCAGCTCTGCCCGCGCCATGGATGACCTCCACCTGCACTACAGGTTCCTCAACTGGCGCCGGCGCATCCGCGAGATCCGCGAGGTCCGCGCCGGCCGCTTCCAGGAGCGCTCCAAGCACATCCTGGTGGATGGGGACACGCTCAGGTGGGACCCCCCCCCCCTCCAGGGCCCCAACCAGGGCTGTGGGGAGCTCAGAGCTGCTCCAGTCCCAACCTCTGCCATGGGGTGCTCCGAGCCCTGTGTCCGCCCCGGATGGGATGGGATGGGATGGGATGGAGCAGCCATGGAGCCCATCCCGGTGTCCCAATAGGGAAGAGCTTCCCTGGATCCAACCTTGATCCCCCCCCCTGTTCCAACCTGAACCCCTCACCCCCTGTCCCATGGATCCAACCCCGGGGGCAGGGCCCTCCCCAGCATCCTCGTGGCCCCCTCTGCACCCCCAAGGCCCCCGTGACCCCCGGATGCTTGCACAATTCCAGGGATGCGGATCCCGGCTCTTCCCCTGTTCCGATGCCTGAGCCCCCTCTGGGGCAGGGCCTGGTGCTCAGCTCCATCCAGACCTGCCCTGCTCCATCCCCCTTTGAGGACCCACGAGGCCCATTCCAACCTGGATCCCGGGATTCCTTCCCGGGAGCTGTGGTCCCCCCTGAGCCCGTTCCTTGTGGGATTTGTGCTCCAGGGCCCTGAGGGATTATCCCATCCCTCATCCCGCTGGCCACGCTCTTCCCAACCCAGACCAGGATGCCCTTGGATCCCAGCACCCTCACAGGGAAGAACTTCCCTTGATCCAACCTGTTCCAGTCTGAACCCCTCACCCCTTGTCCCATCGCTCCAGCCCCACTGTTCCCAGCCTGGCTCCTATGGGAGCTGCTCCAGCCCCTGAGCATCCTCGTGGCCTCCCCTGGACCAGCTCCATGTCCTTGCACTGGGGGCACCAGCACTGCCCACAATGGGGTCAGGATCCCACTGTGGGGGTGCAGCCCTGCACTGGGAGGGGGGGGGGAGCTCCTCACACCCCAAGTCTGACCCCCCCCCCCACCATGGTCCCCCCATCCCCATTGCAGCTACCACGGGAGCTCCGGCGAGGTCGGCTGCTACGTGGCCCCACGGCCCCTCACCAGGGACAACAACTACTTCGAGGTGACACTATGCTTTGTGTGTGTGTGGGGGGGGATGTGGGTGTCCCGATGAGCTTTGGGGCTCATGGTATTTGTGACCCCAAAGGTGTCCATCGTGGACAGCGGTGTGAGGGGCACCATCGCCGTGGGGCTGGTGCCCCAGTTCTACAGCCTGGACCATCAACCCGGCTGGCTGCCCGGCTCCGTGGCCTACCATGGTGATGATGGCAAGTGAGTGTTGGTTGGGGGGGGCCCAAAGGCATCTGCTAGGACCTGAGGGGGCTGCCAGGACCAGCTGGACCCCCCCCCATGCTGTACAGTGTCTGCCCCCCCCCAGGCTCTACAGTGGCCGGGCCAAGGGCCGTCAGTTCGGCTCCAAGTGCAGCTCCGGCGACCGCGTTGGCTGCGGCATCGAGCGCGTGTCCCTGGAGGTGCGCACGGCGCACGTGTTCTTCACCCGCAACGGCAAGAGGGTGAGAGCCCGTTGACACCCACTGACCCCCATTGACACCCACTGACACCCGTTGGTACCCATTGACCCCCCTTGACATCCATTGATATCCATTGACCCCTTTGACACCCATCGATACCCCCATCGACACCCATCGATACCCCCATTGACACCCACTGACCCCCCTTGACACCCACTGACACCCGTTGGTACCCATTGATCCCCCTTGACATCCATTGATATCCATTGACCCCTTTGACATCCATTGATACCCCCATTGACACCCACTGACACCCATTGGTACCCATTGACCCCCCTTGACATCCATTGACCACCCTTGACATCCATCGATACCCCCATCGATACCCCCATTGATGCCTGTTGATACCCATTGACTCCCCTTGACATCCATTGATATCCATTGACCCCCTTGATATCCATCGATACCCCCATCGACACCCATCGATACACCCTGTCGATACCCATCAACACCCATCGATTGATACCCCCCTTGACACCCATCGATACCCCCCTTGACACCCATCAATACCCCCTTGACCCCATCGATACCCCCATCGACACCCATCGATACCCCCATCGACACCCATCGATACCCCCTTGACACCCATCGATACCCCCCTTGACACCCATCGATACCCCCCTTGACACCCATCGATACCCCCATCGACACCCATCGATACCCCCATCGACACCCATCGATACACCCATCGATACCCCCTTGACACCCATCGATACCCCCGTTGACACCCGTCGATACCCCATCAACACCCATCGATACCCCCGTTGACACCCACTGACACCTGTTGATACCCATTGACTCCCCTTGACATCCATTGGTATCCATTGACCCCCTTGACACCCCTCGATACCCCCATCGACACCCCTTGATACCCATTGGCACCCATCTACACCCATTGATACCCACTGACCCCCCTTGACATCCATTGATATCCATTGACCCCCTTGACATCCTTCAATACCCCCATCGACACCCATCGGTACCCATTGGCACCCATCAACACCCGTTGACACCCACTGATACCCGGTGACACCCAATGACACCCCTTGCTAGCCATTGATACCCATTGACACCCACTCACACCCATTGATACCCACTGGCACCCATTGATACCCATTGCCACCCACTCACACCCATTTACACCCATTGACCCATATTGATACCCATTGACACCCACTGGCACCCATTGATACCCATTGCCACCCACTCACACCCATTTACACCCATTGACCCATATTGATACCCATTGACACCCACTGGCACCCATTGATACCCATTGCCACCCACTCACACCCATTTACACCCATTGACCCATATTGATACCCATTGACACCCACTGGCACCCATTGATACCCATTGACACCCGTTGACACCCCTTGAGACCCACTGACCCCCATTGATTCTCTTGCCACCCGTTGACACCCCTGTCACCCACTGACACCCGTTGACCCCCTTGTCACCCATTGACACCCGTGGACACCCATTGACGCCCTTTGATGCCCACTGATCCCCTTGACACCTTTGTCACCCATTGATACCCATTGACCCCCCCATTGACCCCTGGAACACACTGATCCCGATTGACCCCCCCAAAAACCCCTCATACCCCCCATTGCGCCCCCAAACTCCCCTATTTAACTCCAAAATGCCCCATTGTCCCCTGAAACCCTCACACCCCAAATCCTCCATTGCCCCCTCCCCATTTACCCCCCCCCCAGCACCCCTCAAAAGCCCTCCTGGCCCCACAAACCCCCCTTTGCCACCCAAACCCCTCCTGACCCCACATTGACTCCCCCAAACCCTTCCTAAGCCCCCCATCGACCTCCCAAAACCTGACCCCCATTGAACCCGTAACACCCACCTGTACCCCCCATTGCTGCCCATTAGCTCCCATTACCCCCATACCCCCCCATTACCCCATTGCCCCCGTTACCCCATTGCCCGTTACCCCCATTATCCCCCATTGCTTCCATTACCCCCACTACCCCCATTACCCACATTGCTCCATTACCCCCATTGCCTCCCATACAGCCCCATTACCCCCATTGATCCATTACCCCTATTGTCCCCCATTACCCCTAATCCGCCATTGCCCCATTACCCCATTGCTCCATTACCCCCATTGCCTCCCATATAGCCCCATTACCCCCATTGCTCCATTACCCCCATTGTCCCCCATTACCCCAATCCGCCATTGCCCCATTACCCCCATTACCCCATTGCTCCAATACCTCCATTTCTCCATTACCCCCATTGCCCCCGTTACCCCCATTTC